TGCACACAGGTGCAGCAGGTGCTAAATAATTTAAAATAATTTATTTTGAATAAAAATTCCATGCCAATTGTGCGGCTCATCCATAAATCAGTCAATTATGTGTCATGTCCAGTCTTATTTTGGAAAAACTGCAATAGAGCGAGTCTGCAAATAACTAACTGCGAATTAACGAGGGACTACTGTATTTCCTAATTTTACCTCATGCGTGGACTGAAACTGCATTGGTTTTACTTTGAAGTTGTTTTTTTTTTATTCACCTACAAAATGATGCAATACGTAGATCAAGATGTGTGCATGATTTCTCAAGAGGGACTCTTTATCAAAGTGTTCTGTGAAAGAAACCTGTAACTACCCACCGAGTGATAAGAAAATTCTCTGCTGATGATTTCAATTTGTCCCCATGCAAAGGAACTTAAACGGATCTACTTTTTCCACATTCTTGACGATTTTAGAGTGAGACAACAGTTGAGATAAATTAGCAACCTGTGACAAATCTTATGAGGAAGTCCTGCTGTTTTTTCAGAGTAGTATCCAGGAGCACAGGCCTGCACACATCTCCACTCCTGCTGCAGGAAGCCCTCGGCACACTGGATGCACTCCTCCTCACCCGGCCCTGGCAAACACATAATTAAAGCTTAATGTGGATAGTTCAAAGCCAGGATGCTGAACACTGTACACAAATCCCCGGATCTCATGAATCAAAGTTTGTTTTTAAGGCCTTGTAAAAGCCCTACAACAAACACACTGACCTGTGCAAGTCTTACAAGACGAATGACAAGGGCTGCAGGACATCTCTTCCAGATGGAAAAAGGTTCTGTTGCTGCATTCGGGAACACAAGTCATCCCTGCAAGACTGAGATACAAAGCAACTTTTTCAATAAATTGTTTATAAGCAAACTTGAATGTTTAAATAGTAGCTTGTCTTTGCATACCGGTAGCCTTCGCTGCAGGCAGTACATTTGTCGGCCTGTCGCTGACACGTAACACAGGTGTCATGACACTTCACACACCGTCTCTGAGCTGCATGCAAAAGTCCCAGTCAGTGTACACAAATCTACATGTTCCTATAAGAAATAAAATAGAAGCCCAAGAAACTTTGGTTGACAGTGTTATGCTCACTCTCGTCTGCAAAGTAAGTCGGGGGGCAGGTGTTGGTGCAGCTAGAGTTGAGCGTGCTGAGGTACAGGCCTGTTCTGCAGGAGAGACAGTCACCAGGAAGTGGGCCAACACACCTCTCACAGCCTTTATAGCAGCGCCCACACCGACGAGACAACAGGATCTCGTAGTGTCCCAGAGGACAGTGACTTACGCAGGTTCTACACATGTACAGAAGTTCAAGCAAAGTTAACTCCTAGAAAAACAGAATTGTTAATTGACATCGTTCAGGGATCATTTCAGTGGTTGTTTTTTTAAGTTTGAAGACACAATTAGGGGTTTTAGTGTTTTCTTTGAGAAACATGTAGGCAACTTCATGTTTGTTTTGCTCTATTTTATTTTTTGATCTCTTACCTGCCACTTTTTAAGCTGCCCAGACTGAAGTGAATGCAGTTGAGACAGTGTTCAGTGTCGGGTCCATCACAGCCCTGGTTTCCACACTCACTGTGGCATGGCCCTTAATGAACAGCATATCAATCATCACCACCATCAGCATCGTAATCAACGTTAATATTATTAGCAACAATAAGGAATCATTTGAAAAGACCTTTACAATGTAAACAATTGGCATTCTGCATTTCATCTTATTGAAATAATCAAATAAATATTCTATCTCAATGATAAAATATACCAGTGAACCCACGACCCAAAAAGGAAGAAGCAAGAAAAGATAATGGATGGATGTTACCATGTGTGTTACCTGTTGTTCTGTCTGTACAGCACTTTGGTTGGCCTTGTTGCTGTTTTCAATTCAATTCAATTCAAATATACTTTATTAATCCCAAATGGAAATTACTTGTTGTTGTAACTCGTTATCCTCATTTCATTGAGAGATGTTATAGATGCTGATGGCTGTAGACAGGAAGGATCTCTTGTAAAGGTCCATCCCACAGTGGATCCTAAGAAACTGGCTGCAGATGCCGTCCGATCCGTCCACCCAGACTCGGCTGGCCTCTCGGTTCCCCCGGGCTGTAGGACCGCCTGAATGCTGGGCTGAACTCCTCCCAGAGCGATGGCCACTCCTCCCAGCAGTCTGCCGAGCTCCTCATCGCTGTGGACAGTCAACTGTAGGTGCCGAGGGACAATCCTGTCCTTCAGCTGTCATGAGCCGTGTTTCCTGTTAGTTCCTGGATCTCAGTGGTCAGGCATCGAGCACAGCCGGCAGGTAGATGAGAATGCATCCACAGAACATCCTTTTCAACTCACTTGGGATTTGGAGCTGTAGTTGAGATATTATTTGAGCTTTTGAGATGTTAATTAGCTGCTGGATGTAGAAAACTGCCTTGTTGCCATGGTTACGCATCACAACAAATGTCCAAAACTAAAAAAAGTTTCAGTAAAAACCCTTCCAGCTGCACAGCATCTGATACCAGAGGAAACAATCATCCAAAAAAATGTGATTTACATCCAGAAAAAGAGGAATTAAAGTTTCCAAAAGCAAAATCTCAAAATGAAAGTAACAGAGCTGCTCCACCATGCAGCCACCTTGAGCGGCGCAATTCTAGAACTAAGTGCTTTATAAATTAAGTGGTATGGTATGTATGGATGTATGGATGGATGTATGGATTGACATTTAACCAGTCAATTAAATGATTTTTTTTTTTCATTTACGCTTTATTTATCCAGGTAGTCTCATTGAGCCACAAGAACTCATTTTCAAGAGACCTGTTTAGGAGCAGATGGGGCCTTGCTCATGGGCCCAGAGTGGGGCGAATGAGGGTGGGGGCAAGTGTGGGTACTTCACCTACCCCACCCACATTTTTTTTTTTTTGATGTTGTCTGTACTGGGACGTGAACCGGCGAGCTTGCCATCACAGGCCCACCTCCTCTAACCTCTGCACCACCACTCCATATACAGTGGTTTTCAAAGTAGAGGCCACCAGGGGGCACTAGGGGGGCCTCAGAAAGCTGGAGAGAAGAAGATTTTAAAAAAAGCAAAAATAAAAAATAGTAATAGTTATAATAAAAATTACCCATAGGGCAATGTGTATCTGTAATTTCCAGATAAACATGCTTGAGAGAGAGGTTAGATTAATTTTGTTTTGTTCTTCTGGTCAACAGTTTGTTGAAAAGTTGTTTTCTTCAGTGGGAATATAAACACATAAAACATGTTAGTTAATAACATTTTTATGCTCAGCAGCTGTAATAATTAATTGAATATAGTGAATAAAAGTTAAAACATTCTAAAATGTTGTGTTTCTTTACATATTTTGTAGCATTGTTTGTGGGTTTGCGAGGGGGCCTCAGCCAGAAGTTAATGCTGTTTGGGGGGGCCATGGCATGGAAAAGTTTGGGAACCCCTGAACTAATAGACAATCAACAATTTTATCTCTTAGTGTTTTTTATGGAGTTTAAAATAAATAAATAAATTGAAACAATTTTTGAAGAATGCTGAAGTAACAACAGCCAGAAACTCAACGTTTTTCTAAAAAAATATATATATATATTTTAAATTATGTTCTAATTTGACAATATGCTGATGTTTTGACATATAAACTCTATTTGTGTAAAGTAAACCAAGATTTTAAGAAAAAAATGTAAACACTCATTATTTTTGCCAATGTAAACACCCTTCAATGTCAGTCTGTCACTCCCTGAGAGCACTCTTAATAAGAGTCAGAGATTCTTTATTGTCATGTGGTACATGTGGTGGAACGAAATTATGTACACAGGGTCCCAGTTACAGCCAACAATAAAATGTAAAAGAAAAACAATAATAACTATAATAAGACTGGCAGACATAAGCACAAAGTAAAATATAAGCCTCCAATAAATTGTGACGGGGGAAAAAAAACAACCTGTCGTAATAAATAAAATAGTTCTAATCTGTAAGAGGCAGAAACATCTGGTCATCACGCGTACATATGTGTGCAGTGTTAGATGTGACGTTAAAAAGACACGTCACTAACAGTTTAGAAGAGAAATCTTATTTATAGTTTGTAAAATTATTGAAAAATTATCAAAAATAAACTGCAACGGTTTAAAAACTGTAAACTTTCAGTAATGCATTTAAACTTTGAACGTCAAGTATGCATGAGGTGTAGAGCTACACAGGAATAGAGGTATAGAGGAAGGGCTGTGTTTTCTCACTCGTTTCATCAAATTCATATTCGTGTCCATGAGGAAATTTTTAGTGTTTCTCTGTGAATTATAGCAAAAACAATAGCCGACTATTTCCAACTGAGCCGCATACTTTGATGTGTTTTTCTACCGAAGTTGTAGAAGAATCTGTAGTGACAAAAAAGTAATAAAGAGGCTTTAACATGTATGCAATAACACCATTAATTTGGAAATCAAAAAGAACCTATACCTAAAGTTTTTTGGGGTTTTTTTTTTTTTTTTGAGAAAAACACAATAATGGATTCTCTCTCTAAAAGCTAGTGGTTGTTTGTCTCGTTTGTATCTATAAGGCCATGTGATACACTTGTGATCTCTTCAGGGGGTACTCTGCCTCACACAGTGACTGCTGGAGATAGACACCAGTTCCCCCATGACCTGAAAAGTAAATGGAGGGTTAAAGAAAATGGATGGATGCATAGATGCATTCTCTCACCCCTGTACTCCTCCTCCTCTTCCTCTTGGACCTCTGGCTCTTCCAGGTCCTCTGATCCAGGGTTCTCCAACTTTTTTGAGAAGGAGTTTTGAACAGAGTGCTGCTGGTACAGGTTTTGAGATGTGCCATAAAGGATCAAAGTCCATTCTTTAAGGCTGCCTGTGCAAAATAGTATTATTATTGACAATTACTAATACAAAAAGTATTAATTTTAGCAACAAAGCTATACAGTAGATCACTTTGTTAAACAGTTTATTCAAACATAAAATGAGTCCAAGTGTTCTTGTCTTGATGGATCTCACCCAGCACCTCAGGGTTACGCAGCTTTGAAGGGGAGTCGGTAATCTCCAGTGTCCATCTGCCCTCTGACCTCTCACCCCAAAAATGAACAGTCATGAACTCCCAGTCCCTGAAGCCCTCTTTGGAGCTGTCAAATAATCTGTGAAAATATGTCTTTTTTTAAATAAAAATATTCACATTGATGGATACATTTCTTATTCTCCAAGCAAAAAGGCTTCTGGTTTAAATCTCATTTTTTTATGTGAGGAGAACATTTGTTCTTTGTGTTCATGTTTCTCTGGGTACTTTGGTTTCCTCCCACTGCTTAAAAACTTGAAAATTAGATTAAATAATTATTATACAGTAAACTGGTTTGAGTGGGTAAATTTAGTATTATGATGGATTTTGTCCAATGGCAACTGGGACAGAATTTAAACTTGTGTTAAAATTTAGCACAATGCTTACTGCATGTAGCTACCATTGCAGACAGCGTGAATTAGATTGTTAATTATATAATGCTCTAACCTTCTGGCCAGAAGCTGTGTTCTTGTGCCCGATGGAGAGATGAGGTTGATCTTCAGGTCCCCCCGTCGTGGGTGAACAATAAACACCCTGACCACCACATGCTCAAGGTAATCCACATGCTGCTCTGGTTCCTCCGAGCATCCAGAGACGGTAACACTGCTGTTCAGGCTCTGACCGGCATGGATGTGCCTATCACAGACAGAAACAGAAGTGTAACTCCTTATTTTAAAATCTATGCATTATTCCCCCACTCGTTTTTAAAGGTTTGACAAATTCACACAAGTCTGTCTTGAAAATGAGAGAGAAACTGAAAAGTTTGGAAAGACTGCCCAAGTCAATATGTTTGCCATGACGCCAGAGGAAGCATCAAGTATTTCATGGAGACGATCTGAAAGAGTGGATCGGTTAACAGCAGTAGTCTACATCTCTGTGGACGTGCACTGTTGTGGATCGAGAGGAAACTCAGGAACAGTACTTTCCTTATTTAACTGCTGAACTTGTGCTTCAAGTAAATAGTCTCTTGAAACCAGAACAACATCAGGAGCTGTAACTATGTGTCTTCTGAAATGAGAAGTGGAGAAGAATCCTTGGATCTTCTCACAGTCTGTGTTGACTTTTTTTTTTTTAAACCAAATGCTCAGTATTAATTTGATATTTACCAGCAATATATTGAGATCTCTTGTGTTCATGTTTTCCAGGGGTTCCTTCTATGTTATCAATCACATTACATTCCCTCAGTCAGACCTTTCTTTATCTCGCACCTGCTCCTTGTATTCATTAGTCTCATCAGTTACCACTGGCATCGTCACTAACAATGGTTAGTACAACAAGTTTTGATAGAGGTCCCAAATGTTGACGTCTTTTAACACATCATATTTACCGGACTTGTCTTCTATGCTAGTTGGAAGAGGAAGTAAAGTGTAAAGAGGAAGTGAAGGTATCTGCCCTCGGCTAGCCATACTAGCTAGATCTGTATGGATGCTACAATTAATTTGTTGTACAGTTCTTGTGCTAACGTGTTGCTATGGTTCTTCATTTTTATTTACTAGCTTTATTTTAGAAGAGAGGCCTTTCATCAATGGCTTGTTGCCATTAGTAGGACTCGTCAATGCTGCCAGTAAACAATAAAGAGGAAGGCAGCTTTATATATATTTATAATACACTATATATGTTATAACTTATATTATATATATTATTATACTAAGATGGAAGACAACTAAAGATCATAAAGATTGAAAGTACCACAGAAACAAGATACCATAATGTCACCATCACTTCTCCTTAATAGTATGAACATTGATGTTAGGTTATTTATGATCATTCTCACACTAGATTTAACTACTGAATTCACAGCATTCCTATTTTTTTCACAACGTTGAAGAAACTTCTCACCTGGTTTGGCGTGCAGGCATCTGACTGCAGGTGTGCTGAGGAGGAACGGTCCTCCACTTCGTTGCCTCCAGCACCATAGCATCTGCGTCCACCAGGCCAAAACCATACAGGTGGCTGACTGTGACAAAACACATCAAGTATTTTTTGGTGGATGAAAATAATGTTTTCTACAACCATCAAACCAGTGATGCACGCACACCTGCTTCACATCTTTAAAATGTTTTCACAATTTAAAGTGGGGAAAGAAAAAAAATGTAGTAAGTTGGCATTAAAAGTAGAGAGTATGATGCCTTTGTGTCCAGCAGCATTGGTCTTCCAGTCATCAGCTTTAAGGTGGGCAGGTCTGGATGTCTTCACTAACAGGTGCTGTACGTCCCTCCATGTGAGTAAAAGGCTACAAGAAACGGAAAGCCCATGTTATCAGTACATAAGATGACTTCAAGAAATGTATTTGCTTTTTCTGACTTTTTATTACTATAACTTCAATCAAGAATGACCGCTGGAAGAATGACCATCAGGTTTTCCTCTTAGCTTTAGTGTCTCTGATCAACTTACCTTAAGTTAACTTACTTTTGAAGACTGTCACTGCTGGTGAATGGATATTAGAAGAAATATTATTTAAGTTGTTTTTTTTTTAAGAAAAGAAAGAAATAGACAGTCCAGACTAACTTTATCTCCCAGTTGTTCAACCTGTGCAGAACCTTTGATGAGCTCATTCCTGATCTTATCCAGCCTCGTCACTCCTAAGGAGAACCTCAACATCTTCATTTCTGCCACTTCCAGTTCTTTCTCCTGTCTTTTTGTCAGTGCCACTGTCTCCAGACCATACAATATAGCTGGTCTCACCACTGTCTTGTAAACTTTTCCTTTGCCCTTTGCTGATACCCTTTTGTCACAAACCACTCCTGAAACTTTTCTCCATCCTGCCTGGACTCTCTTTTTCACCTCTTTACCACAATCCCCATTTTCCTTGACAGTGGACCCCAAGTACTTGAAGTCCTGCACCTTCGTGATCTCTGCTCCTTGTATCCTCACTGTTCCACGTCTCCCCCTCATTCACACACGTACTCTATCTGACTACGGCTGGCTTTCATTCCTCTTCTTTCAAGTGCATACCTCCACCTCTCCAAGTTCTCTTCCACCTGTTCCCTGTTCTCACCACATATCACAATGTCATCTGCAAACATCATAGTCCATGAGGATTCCTGCCTGACCTCATCTGTTAGTTGGTCCATCACCAAAGCAAACGAGAATGGGTTCAGAGTCGATCCTTGATGCACTCCAACTTTGACCTTGATCTGTCATTCTTACATCTCATCTCACCACTGGCTTCATACATGTCCTGTACCAGTCTAACATACTTCTTTGTCACTCCAGATTTCCTCATGCAATACCACACATCCTCCCTCAGCACCCTGTCATGTGCTTTTCTAAATCCAGAAAGACACAATGGAGGTCTTTCTGACCCTCTGTACTTCTCCATCAGCATCCTCAAAGCAATGATGGCATCTGTGGTGCTTTTTCTTGGCATGAAACCATACTGCTGCTCACAAATACTCACGTCTTGCCTAAGTCTAACTTCCACAACTCTCTCCCAGATCTTCATTCATTCTCATCAACTTAATTCCCCTGTAGTTGCTACAACTCTGTACATCACCCTTGTTCTTAAAAATGGGCACCAGCACACTTCTTCTCCATTCCTGAGGCATTTTCTCACACTCAAATATACCATTGCATATTTGAGTCAAAAACCTCACTGTCATCTCTCCAAGACATTTCCAAACCTCCACTGATATGTCATCAGGTCCTACGGAGTTTCCCTTCTTCATTATTTTCAGAGCTTTCTGAACTTAAATCTCACTAATCTTTCCCACTTCCTGGTCCACAGCTTCAATAATCTCTACTCTTCTTTCTCTTCATTCATTAGCTCCACAAAAATACTACTTCCATCTTCCTGTCACACTCTCCTCACTTGTTAGAACATTATCATTCCTATCTTTAATAAGCCTAACCTGCTGCACATCCTTTCCAGCTTGATCCCTCTGTCTCACCAATACATACAACTCATCTTACACCTTCTGCTATGCCTTTGCTACCTCTCTCTTTGTTCTACGTTGCATCTCCTTATCTGTCTCCTCTCTTCAGTCCTCTCACTGTCATTTCTTCTTGGCTAACCTCTTTCCTTGAACAACTTTCTGCACTTCACTATTCCACCACCAAGTTTCCTTATCATCCATTCTCTGTCCAGATGACACACCAAGTACCATCCTGCCTGTCTTTCCAATTACTGTTGCTGTAGTAGCCCAGTCATTTGGAAGGTCTTTCTTACCTCCCAGAGCCTTTAACAGCTCCTCTCTGAACTCCTCACAACATTCGTCCTTCCTCAGCTTCCACCATTTGGTCTTCTTCTCTGATTTTACTCTCTTTCTCTTCTTCAGAACAACAGTCATTCTAGGCATAACCATCCGATAGTGTCTGGTCACGCTCTACCCTGCCACAACCTTACAGTACCCAATGTACCTCAAGTTTCCTCTTCTGCACAGAATTTAGTCAACCTGCGTACTCCTTCCTCCACTCATAAGTCACTCGATGTTCCTGCCTCTTTTGGAAATAGGCATTGACTATAGCCATTTCCATTCTCTTGGCAAAATCCACCACCATCTGTCTTTCCTGGTTTCTTTCTTTGACACCAAACCTACCCATCACTTCCTCATCCCCTATGTTTCCTTCACCAACATGTCCATTCAGGTCTGCTCCAATTACCACTCTTTCCTCCCTGGGAATACTCTATCACTTCATCTAGAACCTTCCAAAATTTCTCTTTCTCCTCTGTCACATCCAACCTGTGGAGCATAACCTGTCACGGTCAGCGGCCCCCGCTGCCCCCCCATCTGCCTAAGCCTCTGCTCTTCATATCACAGCCCCTGCTTTAAGACCATTCACGTTTTTTCCTGCCTCAGTTTTCTGTTTATTTCATCCTGTTTGGTCCTGCACTGCCTATCACCCATTTTCTGCTCCTGTCACTCTCTCTCAGCAATCTGCACTCATCTGCTGCACCCTGTCTCTGCAATCACCACTCACCTGCCACACCTGTTCAGCTCACTACTTAAGCTCCACTGTCACTCTCCTCAGTGCCAGTTTATTGAAAGCCTCACAGCAAGTAAATTATCCAGCAGTCCTCGTCCACAGTTTCTTTGTTTATGACCACAGCTTTGTTCTTGACTCCTCGCCTTGTCTTGCCCTTGTCTGGATACCACGCCTGCAGCTTACACGGTACGACCTTGCTCCCCTCTTTGACAACGACCACGGATTCTCCTTTTTGGATCATCCTTTTGCCTGTTCACACAGCTCCTGGCTCTCGACCCCTGCTACGTCTCTGGATTCTGTTTCCTGCCCAGCCCTCCAACGTTCTTTGTCTCAGCTCTGCTCCTGCCACAGAAGGTTAGTGATGTGCACACCACCTCTCAGCTCCCAGAACCTTTTTGCAGTCACTAACCTGTCTGTCTTCATAGATTGGACCAGAACTGAGGCTCAGATCCTTCAGACGAACGCCTTTAATAAAATAAAACCTTTTATTTTAATGTTGTCCTGAGTCAGGTGTTGTGCCGATCCATACAGACTCGTTACAATAACCACTGACTTTTAGCATCAGACCTTCTACTTCTAACATCAAACACATCACCCTATCTGACAGTCTTTTCACCTCTACTACATTCTTTGCCAACTCCTCCTTCAGGACCACACCTACTCCATTTCTCTTTCTATCCACACCATGGTAAAACAATTTGAACCCTGCTCCAATGCTGCAAACCTTGCTGCCCTTCCTTTTGTCTGTTGGACACATAAACCATCTACCTTCCTTCTCTGTATCATGTCAGCCAGCTCTCTACCTTTGCCTGTCATTGTCCCCACATTTAGAGTTAATACCCTCAGTCCTACATTCTTGACTTTCCTCTTTTCCCTCTGCCTCCTGACATGTGTCCTTCCTCGTGGTCTTCGACTTCGATATAATGGGAAGCGTAATTCTATGTATTATTTCTCTTACTATAAGAACACCTATAATCCCTTTTTTAATAACTTATCCCCTATAAGAACAGAAAATGATTTTGTTTTGAAAAAAAAAACTTGAGAAACATTGAGTGTGACCAAAACTGACACACCACAAGAAAAAAATGCAAACGAAAAAAAATCTAAACGTGTAAGAAAAGATGTAAAAACATGTAAACGTGACTAACTTTGCCTCCAGAGCGAGAGCTATGATTCCAGCCACAATGGGAGCAGAGACAGAAGTGCCTGTATGACCCTCAGTGCAGCGATGCCAGATATCAGTGGTAACCTTCCAAAACGCACAAACACAAATTTTCTGATCTGATCCGTCATTAAAAATTTGAATCTTTGTTGCCTCTGGTGCCTGATGTTTGACTGTTTTTGTTTTCTATCATTAAATGTCATTTATAAAATCCACTCTTCACAGTGACTGACTTGAGGGAATTCTTACTTACGATCTTCCGCTCGTGAAACTCTCCACTGCTGTAGGTTGTGGCCATGATGGAGCTACACATCTCTAGGTACCAGGGCTTATTTCCATTCTCTGTGGTGCTCGAGACAGAGATGGTGTAGATGCTGCTGGTGTAACCATCACATGAACAGTGATCATCCTGCTGACCTCCATTACCTGCTGCCCAGACAAATATGGACCCCAGGCCTTTGCGGCCCTGTGTGACATAAATACACAGGTGTCTTGTTGCAAATTCAGACATAATTATGCTTATTCATACTGTATAAAACATCAGATAGACAGTTGGAATAATATTTAGGACCTTCCTGATGCCTTGCTCAAAAGCCTGCTTAGTTAAAGGCCCCGGGCCATCTACTGTCCTGCCGTCATCTTTTGGTCCCCAGCTGGCACTGTAGATGTGGATGTAGTCAGGTCGAATTCCCAAAGACTTGGCCTCCACTATGTCAGTCACATCACCATCCAGCATTCGAATCCCTGTTTCCATGGTAACACCATCACAAAACAAACTGTACCTCCATGTCCCATCCAGTTCTATCATATCCAACATATCTCTATCATATGAGACTAACCTGTATAAATAAAGGTTGAATGAATGAACACTTAAGTTTGCTTTCAGAAATATTTTTATATCTGAAAAATTAAATGTATATACAGAAGAGCATTTTGGATTTAAAGTGGACTCGAATGAGCTGGTTTTTTTTACTATGGTACTCAAAGATGATTTCCCTTACATTTACATGATTTGAATTCTTCTGTAACATTTTCAGTTTTGTTTTTGTGCTTATTCTTTAACATCTTCATAAATGCATAAAATCTAATTATTTCAAACAAGACCAAGAGCAAGTTTAGTCTTTAGACTCACTGTTACAAAAGTACTGGTTTCCATTCTACTCATTACGTCATTGCACACGTTATGTACTTTTAAACTAAACAGGACAAAGATGTCCCACACAAAAGAAAACAAAAATCTGACATTCAGAGTTTTAAAACATCCACAAATACTTTATGTCTTCACATTACAAGGGGAACCACTAATAATAATATAAGACAATAGAGATAATAATCTCAGGTCTGTCTTGTAAATGAGTCCTCGAGGCTCAGTGGGATTAACCTGTCTAAATAAAGGTTGGATGAAAAACAAGCAAACCTTAATTAGCAGTTTGGTCAAGGCCTTTTATATTCTGACTCATGTTACCACACAGAAAAGACAAAAAATTATATATATTTGCAGAGATAATTTGAAAATATTTTTGCAGGAGAGGTACAGAGACATTTACCTCCAATGCGAGCGTTGTAGGCAACTCCAACGATGCAGTGGGAGTTGTTGGCTGCCGCTGCCACTTCACCAGCACACCGAGTCCCATGTCTGGATGTCAACAGAGCACACCCAGTAGTTACCACTCCATAAGCAAGTAAGACTTGCTGAAATATCAAAATGGTTTGTTTTGAAAGAAAAAAAACTATCTGGAAATTACAGTCATTTTATTTATATGTATGTCTTTCAGTATGATGAGTGTTTTCACTGGAAGGATGAGGGGTGGATTGTGGAAGTTGGGGCACAAATAAAGTTAAATGGGATACAAAAAAAATTCGTACATGTTTTCATTGCGGGAATCATAACGTGGAGTAGGATCGTAGTCATTCCCATTCACGTCAAAGCTCGCAAGATGGTCCTGGAAAAAGGAGACGCAACAACAGTAAACATGACAACAGCAGAAGGAAGATACAAAAAAAAAAATCTTTATTTTAGAGTCACTGTATCATCATTCTGTATCTTTTCTGTCACTTCTCTTTCTGTCTTTCACTGGACTGATTAGTGGGAGCTGAAACAAATATATTGATGAGGCTGTAATGGATCACGTCACCAGTGCAGCTACAGCGTGCGCTCCTAAGACATCATTACCTGCAGTGTCCCATCAGTGCGGACCGAATTTGGCAAAAGAGCCTTCTCTTACTCTGCTCCTATACCCTGGAAGATCTTGTAAAAAGATCTGAAGCTCTCAACCTTGACCTCTCTAATGGATTTTAAACAATTACTAATTCAATGCAAAAATCAATGCTGACGTGCTCCTGCTTTGAGTAGTTTACCCCGTTTTATAATGTAGCATGTTTTTTGTTTCACTTCTTTTATATACTTTTCATTTTATATGCTTTTATATGAATGTTTATTGTTGTCTGTACCTCATTTATGTTTTTTGTTTAAAACTGGTCTCTCTTGTAAACGAGTCCTCGTGACTCAATGAGACTAACCTGTATAAATAAAGGTTGAATGAATTAATTATTTGTACTTTAAAACAGACGACATAACACATACAAAGTTCTGAGAGAGATCAGGGTGGTTCCTCTCTATGCCGTCGTCCAGTATGGTGACCACCACGTTTCTGCCTGTGTATCCTCTTTGCCAGGCAGCCAGAATGTTCATCTCTGAGCGACACCGGCTGTTCTTGTCATTGCAGTGCTTCAGAGAAGCATGAACACATGCATTAACCATCTTTTCTTGTCCAAAAGACTTGAAAACTAACCAGTGTAGTACACTTACAATGTACCACATGTTGGACCATTTAGGGTCATTGAAGTAAGTGACGTTTGGATCACTTTGGACGGAGCGTTTCTCTCTGGGCTTCACTACCTGCTGTTGGGCCCAGTCCACCTGAGGAAGGAAATGAAAAGGTCACAGATATTTACTGTCCTTCACTATTACTATAATCAGACATTTGAAGTTTGAATGTTAAACTTTAAAACACTAACTTGCATGTTGTTTATTTTACATCAGAACACATCTAATTGTAGCACAGGAGCTTTAAACTGCCCGTATAAAAACTTAAAAGTTTAATGATATTCTGTGCACATTGAATTATCTTCATTTGTGTATGAGAACTTTTATTCAACTCCTTAATACATTATAAAGAAACATATCCATCACTTTTTCATGATGCAAGCCACTTTTAAAATGACCAAGTCAAAGTGATCTACCTGCAATAAGGCCTTGTTTACACGAGAACAACCTCTGGAAACATTTGTGTTTTTTCAATATTTATTGGGGGGTAATAAACAAACAAAGAGCGGGTTTACATGAAAAACGCTGTCGTTTCCATGTCAGTTGGGTTGCCAGATAAGAAATTATGAACTATAGTACTTTTGCTTTAAAATTATAGTATTTTGATCTAAACTGTCATATGTGCTGAAGAAAGATGTTCTAAGATGAGGTGTGTGTTGTGTTTGTTGAAAAATGGTGGGGGTAATTAATACGTTTTAAATTTATCTGGCAACCTTGCCGGCTCATCTGCATTCATTGTCCATGCATCGTCCGCATGATCACAGTTATGTCCAAATGGGTGAATACAAGACTTAAATGAACTTTTCTTGTGCAGTGCATTTATAAATACTATTACACTGAACTGCACTGAAGTTAACTGAATTGAACTAAGGGCAGCATAGAGGAGCAGTGGTTAGTGCTGTTGTGGTTGGTCCTGGGTTCACCTCCCAGCTGCACCTTTTCCATGTGGAGTGCAAATGTTCGCCATGTGCACACAAAGGTTATTTGCAGGTGGTTTCCTCCCAGTTCAAAACATATATAGTACAGGTTAACTGGAAACTCTTTTAAGTTTTACTTAGGTGTGAGCATGAATGGTTCTTTGATTCTTCAATGTCCTGGCAACCTGTCACCTGCTTATTCCCTTTCATTCATTCAAAAGGACAATGATTAATTCAGATTTAAACCCTATTATGTGCTTCTTTCACTTTTTGGTGGTGCTAGAGTGAAGATTACCTACCGTCATGGGAAAAGACAGAACAAATCTTGATTTTTACATATCAGGGCATAATAAAATTACCTTTATTATAACAAAAAAGGGTTCAATCATTTCATCTGGACCAGTTTCTTTAAGGGAGAAACGTTTCATCTTCCATCCAGAAGACTTCATCAGTCTGTGGCCTGCCAACCAGATCTGTCCCATAAGTAGCCTTCATTGCTGTGTTTCAAACCAACCTCTTGTTGAAGCAGGGTTTTAACACATGCAAAAGGACTCATCTGTCCAATGAGGATCACCATATGGTCAGCTCGACTGCTCTGCTTCACATATGACATCACTTATTGCCCAGGACACCAAAACATCATGACTGTCTTTCCAGGCTACCACGAACTGCTGCAAATGAGGCTACAGAGGAACCTGACATGATTGCAGTTGTTTTAAGGGGTCACTGTGTGCCAATTCACTTTCAGAGTTCACTTTTGCCAGTGAAACCTGCCCAGAACTGTCACTGCTGCACAACCAGATTCAAAAAGGTTGGCTCAAATGCAAACAAGGTCTGCCCGAGAACCTTACTTCATTATTTCAGGTACGAAATGAACTGTCAGTTCGTGGTTCACTGATAATGAGAGGGACTGATCAACTAGTTGTTCCTGTTTCATTACATGTCAGAGTTGTTGATTTAGCACGAGGGACACCAAGGCATAGTCCGTACCAAGCAGAGAGTGCGTGAACTGTTCTGGTGGCCACAACTGGACAAACTTGTACATTATGTAATTGCTTCCTGTGTTAACTACCAGTTCAGTGATAAGGTAGCTATAACTGTCCCTACTCCACTTACACCAGTTGAGTTGCCCAGTAAACCATAGGAAAAAGTTGCAATATTAATCTATAGATTCTGTATGAAGAGGAATGGGAGAAGAAACGAAAGTGAAAGTAAACGGAGAACTGAAGCTGATTAACATTATCGCATTCTGCCGTCAGGAGTGATGAACCAAAGTGTAGGAGGCTTGTGGAAAATCAAAGTATTTATTTTACAAAAACAAAGCAAAAGCTGACGGGGCAGCGTACTCACAATTGAACAGGACACCGGACGGAAGGCAGTAACACACCATAAGGACAATCCCGAGACAAAGACAAGACACCAGTGAACTGAATACACACACACACACACACACACACACTGATTAGGACAATGACAGATACCTGCAGTGATTAACATGACACAGGTGAGACACGGGCTGCACACAGGGAGGGAAAACACTGAGAGCAGAACTGGAAACAGATAGAGACAGGTCAAAACCCCATAAATCCTACAGTACCCCCCACTCAAGGGATGGCTCCTGACATCCCAAGAACAAGATACATCCAACTTGGGTGGGAGGCGGGACAAGACAGGACAGAGCAGGACGAGTAGACATAGGACCAAAAGAACAAAAAAACAGCAGGAACAAACCTTAGGGAACACAAAACACAAAAAAACAGGACACAGGACGGAAGGCAGAAGCACACCATAAGGACCAAAGTCAAGGTGGACGATCAGGAGACCGTCCAAGGTGGGTCTGGAGTTCAGGCGGACGGTCCAGTGACCATCCCCAATGAGGCAGGGGATCAGGAGGGCGACCTGGGAACTGTCCATCCCCAGGCCCGGGTCCCGACAGGCAGCCAGGAGACCGTTCATCTGTGGGCTGCAGGGACGTCCACCTGTGTCCACCTGGACTCAAGCAGGCGAGGACCTCTTTGTGTGGATCAGGGGCCAGGACCTCTTCAGGCAGACCAGGGGGTGGACATCTTCGGGCAGACCAGGGGGCGGACCAGGGACAAGGACCTCTGCAGGCGGGACATGGACGAAGACCTCTGCAGACGAGCCGGGATCTTCTGCGGTCGGGCTGGGTGCGAAGACCTCAGGTGGGCCAGGATCTTCTGTGGTTGAGCTGGGAGCGAGGACCTCAGGCGGGCCGGGATCTTCTGCGACCAGGCCAGGAGTGAAGACCTCCGACGAGCCAGGACCTCAGCCAACGAGCTAGGAGCGAGGATCTTGGGTGAACCAGGAGCAAGGACGAGGACTTCAGCTGAGCCGTGAGCCTCAGCAGATGAGCTGGGGTCCAGATCTGCAGCAGCAGGTGGTGGAGTCAAGGCTGCTGCAACAGGTGGTGGAGACAGGACTGCAGCCATAGAACCAGGGACCAGGGCTGCAGCCATAGAACCAGGGATTGGGGCTGCAGCTGGAGAACCAGGGGCCGGGGCTGCAGCTGGAGAACCAGGGGCCGGGGCTGCAGCTGGAGAACCAAAGACTGGAGCTGCAGCAGGTGATGGGTCCGGAGCTGCAGCTGGAGAATCAGGAACTGGAACCAGGGCTGCAGCAGGAGGTGGAGTCAGAGCTGCAGCAGCAGGTGATGGAGGAGTCAGAGCTGCAGCAGCAGGTAATGGAGGAGTCATCAGAGCTGCAGCAGGTGGTGGAGGAGTCTCTCTCTCAAACAATCGTCCGTGACAGCCAGGAGGAGAACGAGGAGGAGATGGGCAGCGGGGTGCAGCAGCAAGACGCGTTGATAAGGGAAGGAGAGACGGTGAAGCTGAGGACCCAGGTTTAATGGCCAGACGGGTTCCCCAGAACTGAGTCTTTCTTCTCTCCTCCATTTCCTTATCACGACGAGCTGTTTTGTCCGCTTCACGGGCCAGAAACTCGAACAGAGTAATCATCGTCCTGCTGGGTTCAGAATCGTCCCGGGATTCTATCACATTCTGCCGTCAGGAGTGTTGAACCCAAGTTCAGGAGGATGACAAGAGGCTCGTGAAAAATCAAAGTATTTATTTTACAAAAACAAAACAAAGCCAAAGCTGATGGGGCAGTGTACTCACAGATGAACAGGACACAGGACGGAAGGCAGAAACGCACCATAAGGACAATCCCGAGACAAAGACGAGACACCAGTGAACTGAATATATACACACACTGATTAGGACAATGACAGACATCTGCAATGAGTAACATCTGGAGTAGAATGGGGCAGTGGTGGCGCAGAGGTTAGAGAGGTGGGCCTGTGATCGGAAGATCGCTGGTTCACGCCCCGGTACTGACAACAGTGGGGTAGGTGAAGCACCCACATTTGTCCCTACCCTTATTTGCCCCACTCTGGGCCCATGAGCAAGGCCCTTAACCCACCATCTGCTCCCTAAACAGGTCTCTCTTGAAAATGAGTTCTCGTGGCTCATTGAGACTACCTGTATAAATAAAGGGTAAAAAAAAAAAAAAAAACTGAAACGACACAGGTGAGACAGGGGCTGAACACGGGGAGGGAAAACACTGAGAGCAGAACTGGAAACATAAGGAAACAGAGACTGGACAAAACCCCAGAAACCCTACAAACATGTCTGCTTATTTTACCTTAATGCAGACTTGCAACCCACAACAGAAAGTGGCAGGCAGTTTTCTGGAGCATTAATGTCAAATAACTACCGGTGAGATAAGTCACATCTTTCATCAAAAGATTCACTCATCAGATGACTGTATGTAAAACCCTTTTTGATGGAAACGTGACAGGAACTGACCCCGGCCTTACCTTGGGATCCATATGGATGAAGCTGTGGGGTCCTTTCAAAGAGAAGGCAGCCCTGCGAACCACTCTGCTGTGGTGAAAATGGTAATGATCCTCCAGCCTGCCTATCTGAACAAAACACATTCAAGGGCAAGAAAATTACTATAAAACTCCCATTTAGTTAAAAATTCAACTTGACTTGTGCAGACCTGCACAGAAGAACCATCACTGCTAACTGTGTTGTTACATTCAAAGCACATGTCCATCTTGATACAAAGAACATTATATCCTCTAATAAAATGCACATTTTCTTTAGGTTTTATCTCTAAAATGAGAACCAAATTCTTACCACATGCACAGCTGGCAGATGTTTCTGACGGAAAACAACTTCATTTTTTCCTCTCCCTGTCTTTACAGTTTTTCATTACTACAATTTCAATACGCGTGTTTCATTCTTCGCCTAAAGGCACAAACTGTGGACCGAGAACGCATTCATCTAAAAATAAGATTTACCAGGTCATTGTCAGGACAAACAGGAAATATCCACCAGTTACAAACACAGCTATTCTTTAAATTTCTCACCAACGTACACTTTCTGTGCACAGCTTCTCGTTTTCTCCACATGCTGTACTTTGCTTTATTGAGGATAGTCTGGAATTTCTTTCATCTGTATTCTTGTAAACTTTGGAATTAACTTGCACAAGCTGTTTGCCCAGTCACAGGGGAAGTTGAAATTTATCTTATCTGTAAAAAAGTCCAGACAACAACAAACTAAATTCTCATCAACATTGGATGTCAGTTTTGTGCATAATGAATTATGAATCATTAAAGGGAGTTTTGGGTTTGGAGACCTAACTTTTTTACTTGTAAATCTTGAGATATAAAAGTTTTTGAGTTTATTAGATCCATTTGTGGGAAATATAAAACAGTTAGGATGAAGGAAAAATTCATCATAAACATTTAAATCACTTAGCTCCCATGCTGTAAGTTCTTGCATCGGCTAAAACAAGAAACTTTAGAAAAAGAGTATCCTGATGCATGCTCAATAATCCAGATAGAAGAATCTAAAAAAGTTCAATCTGGTCCTGAGGACAAAACAAAACGAAGCAAAACAACAAAATAATGTAGATGTGTGTAAATGTGTCTACAATTTTTTATTTGTTGTTTTGCTTTGTTTTGTTTTTTGAATGTCCACAGGACCAGATTAAACTTTTTTTAGATTTAGAAAAATAGATAAAATTTTGTATAAGTTTGATCTCACTGGAATAAATTATTCCTCAGGACTGTGACGTCACTACATCAGACATGGAGGACACACAGTCAGTACCTGTCCCAGGTTTCTGTAGCCATACTTTACTGCGATCGTGTCGGCTCTCTCCGGACCACCAAAGATCCGAACCGCCCAGTGGTTCGTGAACACGTCCCCGCGCCCCCGGAGCGCAGACTGACCACCGTCCACACGGAGACAAACCAGAAGCAGAAACAAAGCCATGACGCGCCCTTCTGCTCGGAGACACGAGCCGTCCGTTAGTTCAGCGGAGAAACTTCCCCTGAGCTGAGGGGGGTCGGGGGAGGAGTGTGCGCGCGCGTGTGTGGGGACCTCCTCAGTGCTGAGGAGCAGAGAGGAGGAACAGCTGCTGCTCTCACCTGCATCCACGTCTTTTTTTAACAACCGTCTATAAGCATCAAGGACTTGAAGAGACCAGCTGCTGGGGAAGTGTTCCAGATGTGTAAGCAAGTATGCACCTCTATAGCATCAGAGAGGCAGGCCTACGAACTGAGTATTAACAACAGGTTGGATGATCCCTCTTTTTTCTTTGGAATGGAGCACATGGTTGTAGTTTCCAGAAATAATTTTACGTTTTGATTGGCCTGATCATTGAACAGTTTTCCACTTTGCTTCAGTTTTAAACGAGTTCTGGCCCAGAGAACACAGAGGTGTTTGAGTCAGGGTCACATACAACTTCTTCTTTGCACGATAGAGCTTTAAGCTGTATTTGTTCATGGAACACCTAATGTTTGTGACAAAGAATAAAAGGATCCTGGACCTACTGTCCAGAACAGAATCAGACCAGTTTTTTGAGGGTCCAAAGATCAGGCGTAACATTAACTTTCATCCTTGTCCTTTGAGCTCAGAGAGTTCATAAAAACGTTTTCTGATATTACAAACTGTAGGTGACGATACAAAGTCTTCAGGTTTTGTCTTGAGGAACTTTTTTTAAAATTGTTCCACCATTTCTAGACAGTTTTTCACAAACTGGTGACCTCTGCGCCTCCTTACTTCTGAGATATCCATCCATCCACCCATCCATTCATCCATCCATCCATCCATCATCTTGGTTGTGAGGGTCACTGGTGCCCATATCCACCCATCAGTGTGTGAAAGACAGGGGACATCCAAGTCTCCAGTCCATCACAGGGACACAAAGAGACAAACAACCATTCACTCTCTCACTCACACCCAGAGATAATTTAGAGTTACCAATCAGCCTAACATGCATGTTTTTGGTCTGTGGGAGGAAACGGGAGGAAACCCACACATGCACAGAGAGAACATACAAACTCCACCCAGAAAGGTCCCCGGCCGGGATTCAATCCAACGACCTCACCGAGAGGCAGCAGCTCTACCAACTGCGCCACCGTGCTGCCTGAAATATTCAGCCTATAAAATTCCTCTTGCTGCTGGTTATTAGCTGCAAACTACTCCTTTAGCGTTTTCTTATTTCTGTCACTTTTACAGCCTTTTTAATGTTTTGTTGCTATTAAATTTAAAACTACTCCCCCCCACCCCCCCAATCTACTAAAATATGGGTTTTGGTGATTTGTAAATCACTACTTCCTGTTTTATCACATTTTAAACATTCTGCTTCACAATGTGGAACATAATTTTGTCGCAACTTTTTTCAACTGTGTTGCTGCCATAAAATTCACAATTAAATAGTTTTTTTCCTATAAAGGATACAATTTCTTATTAAAACATTTAAAATGCTTATTTTGTATTATTGTGACTCAAACGTTGATGCTCACAAACAATGACGTGATGTGGAGAGGTTAAGAATAAATGTTATTTTTTTATAATATACCCACATTTTGTTAAGTAAAACAGATTATTTGGCCTTCAGTTTTGCAGCTACAAATCTAGAGGTGATTTCAAGTTTGGTGTTTGCATTTGTGATCTGTTGCTGTGATCCCACAGCATGCAGTTTGAGGAGATCTCCATTCAAAGACCTGGCACTGGTTGCACAAACACGATGGATTTAATCACAGATCATCACCTAATTTTAACTAATTTAACCTGCAGATATGCGACAGCCTTAAACCTTGAAATACGTTTGACATTTTTTCCTGTATATCAACTAAAGTGAATGACTGTGATTATCTTCATCCATCCACATTTGTGGGTGGATTTTATTCCTGAGAGTTCTTGCAGGAAAAGACAAAGATCGATGGTGACTGGATGACCCGGTCAGAGTTTTAGAACCGGAGAGGTTGTGAAAGCACGAGACATCAGAGTCGTCCTGAAGAGCAAGTAAATGGGAAACAGTGGACTTGATTTCAAATGTTTTAAATCTCTGTCTTCTTGGGCAGCTGTGGAGTGAAACATCTCCAGATGTGCTGGCGACACACCCACATGGACAACTCAACCCTTAAGACCAGACAAGTGTTATTTACAAGACAGTAATGTAGAAGGAGCGCCACTCCGTCATTAAAAGTGGAACCAAGTCCAGACTGATAATTAAATTAGGCTCGTTCCATTAAACCTCCGAGCAGACCATCTTCCCTCCAGGTTTCTGTGTCCCAGTTGGCTTCTGAGCCACCGTGGCTTTCCTGAGCTCCCGACACGCCAATAAGCCGTAAATGTTCTAAACATGTTTTGTTCTTTGAAGCTTATTTGAAACGGCTATATACTGGGAACACAGCAGACTTTAATTCTTGCACTCTTTCATGTGTGGGAACAGAAACACATCTGGCACGGTAAAGTTGTTTCCCCCCCCCAAAGCCCGAGCAGGATCTGAGCCAGGTTTCCTCATCAGAGGGTGTGGTGACACGCAGCTGAAATTAAAAAGTTCTGCGACGTTGTCCTTCAACCAATCCCGCACTTGGATTCGTCTTGAACTCATTCGGAGACCGATTGAATCCAGACTCGGTCATTAGTGTCTGTGTGAGTTTGTGATGCAACCAGTGTTATTGTGGAGTGAAGGTGTGGGTCGGTAGAACAGCAGCGCTGCTCACCACCATGATGGTGCACCTCGACTCCTCCAAACATCTCGTCATTGTGGCTAAACAGATCGATGTTTGTCACGTCTGACTATAAAACTTATCTCCTAAAGGTAATTTGGCTTGTCCATTAATCTTGAAGAAGTGTCTTTAGAAGAAGCTTCTATATTAATCAGCACCCTTTAATTAAGTCAGTGTTGACGCAAAACAGGCACACTGGTGTTCCAGATGTTTAGTTCGTGGCTGGATGTTTGCTGGTTCTTGGATAAGCAGCTTGTGACCACTTTATTTTTCACTCTGCTGCTGTCTTTACTTACTCTGCTCAACCTATTTTGTATTTGTATTTATGTTTTTCTATCCTTGACGTGTGTTTTTCTCTTTCAGGTACACCTGCACCTACATCTGGACCTGTCATTCTGTGTTCGTTCGTCTCTCAAACCAGCCGGTCAAAGCAGATGGCCACTTGTCCTGAGTCTGGTTCTGCTGGAGGTTTCTTCCTGTTAAGAGTTTTTCCTTTCCACTATCTCCATTGTGCTTGCGCAGGATGGGAGACTGCAACAAAGTGAAGATTCAACTTGTCTGCTGGCCTCTTTAGATAGAGAACTTTACTAAGTGTTTTATTAATGTATGTGAATGTTTTGTTGGTCAGTCCATTGAGTACTGTTGGACAAGACATTTTGATGCTGGCAAAGTTAAACCACAAGCTGCAGTTAATCATGATCACTAATGATAATATGGTACGCCTTGCCAAATGAAGCTTTAGCTCTGCTTATTAAAAAATAAATAGATGAATATTTACACTAGGTATTTGAGCCTCTATGTATAATGTTGATGGTGTAAGGATTAGAAAAAACCTAAAAGTTCTCGTTTTTAAAGATCATTGAACTTTTGTGTTGTGCAAACATCTAATCCTGGAAAAATAAAAGTTCAAATAAATTATTAAAATCCCCAATTCCCAAGAAATTCCCATGATAAGTTAAAGTGTGACTCTGACTTTAAACATCATCATATGTTTAGAGTTTTTATTTTTATTTTTAGAAGTTCCTAGTTGAGGCAGTGATGCACTTTAACGCCAGCTGAGCTGTTCTGGCAAAGACACAACAGCACATGGTCTTTCATGAGCCAAACAAGAGATGTAGACCAGGAGACTTGGACTGAAAAGGTGGAGGGATTAAATGTTACACCAGTAGTGACTGGGTTCAATACACATGTTAACTTTGGAAACAGAAACAAGTACAAACGCTGTCAAACAGTCGATCTCATGTTAAAAGCATTGAAAGGGTTTCAGAGGAAAACAGACCACAGCTGTGAACTGGTCACTGTCCTGTGGTTGAACTAGCTCAGAGGAACCAGACAGGATGTTTGTTTCACTGCCCTTCAGTGTCTAACTTTAGGTTTGTTGATCTTCTATTTATTAATTTGAGAATATCTTATTGAGCCGAGACATTTGCTCTGCATTATACAAGACTTCCTGTTAGCAGGCAAGTGAAGATGCCATATTATCCAAAAGAAACAGAATTGTCTAGGTCAGTTTATTTGGCCTCTAAACATGAGCAAATTAATTTTTTTAGTAAAGGAAGCTAAACACGAGACGATTGTTGAAACTAAACAAAATCCCCCTGAAAGCCTCTTCAGAGTTTGTAGGTGAGATTCTGTTAGTTACAGCTGTGAGCTTCACATGTGGAGCTCTGACTCCAAATACATTAATCCAGCATTAAGGGACCCCAAAGTCCCAGGTTCGATCCCCGGTCACTGCACACCTCGTGGTGTCACTGGGCAGCACACCTCATCCCCAAAATGCCCCCCGGGTGCTTTCAATAGCTGCCCACTGCACCACCTGGTGGTAGATGTGTTAAATGCACAGACTAATTTCACCATTGTGTGGAAACATACAGTGATGACATTATTATTATTATTAAACTAAAAACTGCTGAGTGTCAGGAGCAGAGGGGTCAGCTCAGATTTAGGCTTCGTTCAGTTGTCATCATTGTTTCAACCACTAGATGGAAGTAAAGCATGTCATTTAAAACCATTTGTAACACCAGCGCTGCACAGCATGCTGCTGTCTGAAACCAGTCTGAACCAGATGCTCAGTCTGGTACAAACTCTCCTGACTTCACACTGCACGCTCGGCAGGAGTGATTACTGGGTTTCTATTGTAAAAGCTTCACCTACTTGTAAAATAGTCATAAAATATTTATAAAATGATGTTTGCATAAATTCCTTTGACAAGTTCAGCGCTGTATTAAAAGGGTGACAGTTTATTTCAGTCTTGGCACAGCTTCAGCTCATCAGTTCTCCCAGACGTGAACTTTATTTCTCCAAACTGAGGCCTTTCAAAGAGCCATTTAGCACAGGTGAGATATTAATTATAAATGTTCCTCAGAAACCCACTTCAAAATGGTTGCACTACCCCTTGGGGGCCGAGATGGTGTAGAGGCAGGGCAGCCAGCTTGGGACCCGAAAGTCCCAGGTTCGATCCCCAGTCACTGCACATCACGTGGCGTCTCTGGGCAGCACACCTCATCCCCAAAATGCCCCCCGGGCGCTTTCAATAGCTGCCCACTGCACCACCTGGTGGTGGATGGGTTAAATGCAGAGACTAATTTCGCCATTGTATGGAAACATACAGTGCTGACATTGTGATGACATTATTATTATTAACTGAAACTAAAATCCGTGCTAGACTTGATTGAACTGACTTTAAAGTCCATGAATCATGACTGAAAGCCAACAATCACAAGCCCACATACATATCACATGTGAACACACGTCACATAAATGACAATAAAAGCTGAAATAATATTTTGTTTATGAATCTATTATCAATGAAGTTCATGAATCATTACAGATAATCCGTTTCTCCGACCATCAGCTCGTCTGTGTCTGTTCAGGAGTTCATGTGGATTCTTATGTGCTGTAGTTGGAGGTTAGCAGAAGCAGATCTGGGACCAGTCAGTTTAGTGAAGGCAGCACCTGCTGGTAAACCTGAATCATGTTCAGCTCCTGGAAGACAGCCATCAGCTCTGATGAAGACTGGTAGTTGTTCACTACAAACCCCTGCAGACTGACACAAAGACACACAGAGAGGCCATGAGTGTGTGAAAATCAATTCTGTTCAACATTTATCACTGACCCAAACGTCCAACCCTCTCTGTATTTATCTGCTGCAGAACTGTCACGTCTCTGTGGTGCATACCCGTTTCTAAAGGTGGAACATGACGGGGCTCCAACAAGAACCTTCATCATCCTCTCTTTGCATTTCTTGCCTGAAGAGTCCACATCCACCTTGGCTGTCTTTAACCGACGACAAAACTCCTGAAGAAAGATTATCACCATTAGAGGGCACAGTAGCATCAGACATAACCTTGGTTTAAAAAAAAAAAAAAAAAAAGTTCAATATTCTATGTCAAAAAACAAAAACGGATAACAGAGGACAGCATATTGAGGCTAAACATCCAGTTGAATAATCTGAAATCCCTACTTTGACCTGTAAATGATGGGACTGTGACATACGGAACTATACAATAGTGCTTTATTTACATACAACTGAAATAAAATGTAAAAAATTATTCCTAACATAAAAAACTTCATGAATAAGCTTTATCTTGTATTAAAGCTTTTATTGTTCCATATTTTCTTACCAGAGCACCCCAGATTATTTTCTAAAACCCAACCCGAGGCTGAAACCCTGTCCACATTTAGTGATAAATCCTGTAGTTACGATTA